TATGGTGACCGGCCAAAAGCGGTAGTCCTTCAGGTTCCCAAAACCCTGCGAATCGATAACATTCTTCATGCGAAGCTGACAAACCCTGCAAAACGATAAGGTGACCGTCCAAAAGCGATAAGAACTATGAACACTGGAAGGGCTGATTTTAGAGTTTTGCTGATGGCTCATGTGACTTCCAGCAGATGGAGCTTGTTGGCGGTGAAGCAGCGTAGGAGGTAGGCGCCGATGCCTCCTTAAAGCGCCATGTCAAGCAAGCTTGGCTCCAGTGCGAGATAGCCCGCAGTCTGTTGGCAATCAGGCAAAAAAGGCCCGGAGGTCATGCGCAAGCGGCCCAACCTTCTCCTCATTTCTCCTCGCAACGCAGCGTGTAAGCAGTCAAAGCAGAAACAGTGGAACCACGCTGTCACACGTCGGCGCCAGCAAGAAAGTAAAGCTCTCTCGTATTGGCCCACAAATCTAGGGACCTAGATGGCCCCACTCTGCTAAGTTTTTCCGGCTGCAGCCTCGAGCGTAACGGTTGCCACGCCCTTGCCCTTGACATGAACCTCGATTCCCGTATCGATGTTACTAATCCTAAGGTTTGTGATTTTGTTCGTGGGTGGATCAAGGGTGTTTGGGTCGCTACCCCTTGTGCCATTTGGAGCTCCTGGTTCTGGTTCGAGTCCTCGCATTTTTGGGGTCTTAGTCAGCTGAACCCGAAGCAAGTCAAAGTTGCCCAACTCTACTGTTCGCTTCACAGCCAGCATCATCGGGCTTGCCGTGCAACTTCCGCGTTTTCTTGAGAATCCTGCCGGGTCCATGATATGGACTGCGCTTCCTATTAAATGAGCTTCCCGATATCGTTGCACGCGCAGGTTCGTCATTGATTTTTGTTAGATGGCGCGAGCGAACTCGTGTACAGTGTTAGCATGGACATTCTGGTAAATATCATAGCGTTCTTCAGGGTCAGGACCGGCCAGGATTTTGTTTCCAAGCAAGTGTGGACTAGGAAGCAATTTGCGCAGCCTGACCCTTCTCTATTTGCCGCCCGGGCCGGCGCAGCTCTTGCGCTTGCAGCGGACAAAATGGAATAGTTTCATGTAAGAGCTCGATTCAGCATTGACTTCGTCCGTTTGCGTGTTTTTTTCTGCTTTCTCTGCTTTTTGAAGCTGGGATGTCGCGGCCCAGGCTTACAGCACCGGATCAATTTAGGTCCTCGATGTCTTTCGTTTGCATTCTGATTGGAGTTTCTGCACCTGCTGCTTCTCAGAAAATCGTGCTGGCTCTCGGATTGGAGATGTAATGGTCATGGCAGTGGCTATGGGGCCGGAGCATCATCACCGTCACACACGTGCTGAAGTCACAGCAAAACATTTTGGTCCTGGCTGCTCATACTTAGGCTCATGCCGAGTCATCTTCCAAACCTGTGACGTGCCATGGATTGGATCTTCAGCTGTTTCTAAGAAACAGGGGCCCTTAAGGAGTATCAAGCAGTGCATAGACATGAGAAGCCAGAAAAGTCACCTTCAAGCAACAGTTCATCATGTGGCCAGCTTGTCTGTCGAAAGAAGACTTTCGCCATCTGTTCCAGTGCCACATGTTCCCGCCTGCCTTGTCAGCAGTGCCATGAAGTGATACTGGTATGCCAGGCCCCCCGAGAGTTGGATTTTTGTCTTCAAAGCAGTGCCGGGATGCAACCGGGACCTGTGCTATGGGGCAACAAGCGCATCCTACATGGGCCGATGGGGCCCCAACCCGGTTTCCACGGGTTCCATGCTGGCCCTCGTGTGCAAGCGCTTCCTACTCCGGCGCCGCTTCCTGGCGCAGTGCCAAGCTTGAAGCTTGGTGCGCCAGGGAGTGTTCACTTTGGAGGCGCATCTTCGATCCTTCCACATTGCAATACAGGAAATCTTTGGGCCAGATACAGACACCGTCTCAATGTGACTGGAACCGGGCCAACGTGTTGGCTGTCGTGTATAGCTTTTCTTGGAAGGTCCCTTGGCAAGTGCAGGGGGGTGCCGCAGTACCCAGCCGCTGCGAGCTCAGCAAAGTCTATTACAAGAGCTAGCAGGCAAGTTTCTGTTGGTGAAGCTCAAATGAAGCTGGTGAGCAGGTTCCAGTGGCAGATGGGCCAGACGGGAGTTTCAGCCTCATCCGCACTTGAAACAGCTGCCTTCCATTTTCGTGCTGCGGATCTCATTCAGGCATGCTGTCCTTATTGCGGAAACATCTATGCCTGGCCCCTGATACTTTCGAACTCTTCAAGCAGGACGTTGGCATGCTTAGGCAGCGGACTCTCGCTTCTGCCGCAAGTGTGGTCGTCCTCGGCAGGTACGAAGGATTGTCAGACTGCAAAAAAAAGGGGGAGACGTGCTGAGGCCCATGGGGAAGTTCAGCGGCAATCTTCCGCGCCCAACTTCCTCCAGGCTTCCGCAGAAAAGGGAGGCGCGGCTGATTTGGGATTTGGAGATCTAAGGTGCCGGGCAGCTTTACGCCCGTGTCGCCGATGTCTGCACCGGCTTCAGCTAGTTGCTGAAAACAGAGCAGATTCAGATGCAACGCAAACTTCGGGGGTTGGCAAAGGAAGGCGAAGCAAGATGACTCTACAACTCTCAGCCAAGCCTGAGGCTTCCGGAATTTCAGCCTCGACGTGCTCCAGGAGGAGCAAAAAACCCGAGTCCAGCCACTGCACACGTCTGACCGTCTGACGTGGGCCAGGGAGGTGGTGCGACAAGCATCTGCTCCTTCTTCCATGCTTCCCATGCCAGCTGTACCACAGGCCTCGCCTGTCTTGTGCCCCTGTTACCTCGCTGCAATGCCGCAATGCTTCCACTTTCTGGTCAGGTAAGGGAGATCGTTGAGGTCACCTCTGCAGCATCGACCACCCTTGCAGAGGACGAAATGCCCCTTTCCTCTGAGCACTTCAGAGTGGGTTCTAAGGGGGGTTCCAGGCCATTGGCTGATTGAGCAGCAAAGTCCACATGTGGAACTCAAAAGGAGTCCATTGAAGGGTAAATCTTGCCAGGACTCTGGCCGGGATTCCCTGAGGCAAATGCAGTTGGCCTGTACCTCAGAACCAGAGCTAGAAAGTGGTAGTATGCCGTGAACATTTCTTGAAAGTTCCGGGCAACGTAAGGATCAATGCAATGCTCTGCAGGTGTGGTGTGACATAGCCACCACCTTCTGTAGCCCTTACCTACAAGTAGCAGTTGCTGAACATTTTCCTGCGCAAGCTTCCGGCTTTCAGCATTGGGGTCAGTTTTACATGGTGAATGGTTTTTTTCTAGGTGATCCGAGAGAAACCCGAGATCCAATCTGTGGAGAAGGTCGTGGAGGTTGGCCACGCCATTTCAGTTTTTCTTGTCCAGAGGGCACCCGAGACCTTAGGTCCCTTGCGTGTCAGTGTCGGACAGCACGGTTGAGGCCACAGATGCATGGAAAATCAGAAGATCCTGTTTAGCATACCTTCGATCCATGTCATGTGCAAGGCTATGCATGTTGTTTCGGATAGCGCAGCAGAGCATCTCTTCCTCAAATGGCTTCATCTTGGCCTTGAGGATCCCCTGAGATGCTCCATCTCTTGTCTGCTCTGCTTGGTATCTGCAACCTTGCTCGAGCTTGCTTCTCTTGTCGGTGATGGAGGCGCATTTGAATTTGAACGTCTTTTCATAAGAATGGTCGAGAAACGACGGAAGTGCAAACTCTCTGAACGAAGGAACGCAGCCTGTCAATGTGCTTGAGAATATACGGTCCCAAACAGCCCCTTTGGCGACGTGTATTAGGAAAGCAGTCTGAAGTACATGCAGTCTACTGGTTCTGCTCAGGTTAATTAATGCAAACATGTCTTGCGTAATTACCTGTGATAGTCCAAGCCCTTTCCACCCTCTCACGTGAATTCACTGAACATGATTTCAACGTGTTTGGTGGCAAGAAGACACACCAGATCACAGCAGGAAATGCAGGAAACCAATATGGATTTAGTATCTGAGTCACTCCCCTTCACCCCGAAAAAAATGAACAAAACACAGAATCTAATCAATGAATCGACACGTGAGAGCCGTCAATGTCGATGGAACCATTTTGCACCCATCTTCAGGCAGCATCCTTTCCTCATAGTCACAGTGATTTCTCGCTGGTTTCGCCCCTTAACTGCAACTCCTTTTCTTGTCATCTATGACTCTAAATAGTAGCTTCCATTTTCTTTTCCATTATCCCTATATAACCCCAATATATACCCTATTATAATCCTATTTTTATATCACTGGAAGGGTAAGGTGGGGCCACAAGAGCTCTTGAGCGGGTACCGATGGCTCTGGCGACCAGACATCATAAATCGCAACTGAATTAAACATTGGTAGAAACAGCATGTGTCGCACGGAAGCTGATGGGGACTTGGAGGCATGATGTTGCAAATTCTGGGACCACCCAACCCACAAAATCGATCTTGCATGGCACCTCGCCGGTCCCTCACTGGCACCACCTGGGCTTTTAGCATGTCGCCGTCTGAGTTTGTGTCTGAACCCACAACTCAAACTAAGCTAAGAGGGCAAGAAGCGTCTTGACCTGCGAGTTTGTCACGTACAGAACACGCCTGATTCAAGCAATTCAAATCTTCAGGACGGAAAACAAGCCATGCGATCAGGTGCTTGAAGCCTTCACGGGTGAGCAGGTTTGTGTGGTTTGCCCCTTGCCCAGATTTTCAAATCACCTCACTTGTCGCGTGAATGCTCAAATCGCTCCAAATCGCTTGGGGAATGGCTCAATGGGTGATCCTCCTCTACTCCTGCCATGACCTGATGTTGAAGTGGAACCCAAGTGTGTAGGAAACTGGGCCGACAGTCCATCAAGGAGCAACTTGCAAGTTCCTGCAAGTTAAAGCAGAGAAACAAGGGGAGGGCTGGCAGTTTTTCGTGGGGATTTTGAGGGAGGGTTCTTGGCCAGGTGCCTGTATCTTTGGTGCACGAGAAGGTTGTGGAGGCTGACTTGTGACTTGTTCGGCCTTTGGCATTTTCTCCTGGAATGATGTGAAAAGGTGCCCGAAGTTCAAAAAGTGGAGGTTGTAAAGCAGGTTCCGAAGGTTGGCAATGCAAAGAAGCAGCTTCTATCGCCAGTTTGGTGCAGCTTCGAGGTCCAGTACGAAGAGCGGTTCCTACAGGCGCGACTGATAGCCTACCTGCCAGGAAGCTCCGCAAAGCTTTGCATTGAACAATGTTCAACATCTTTGGTTTACCTTGCAGCAACGCAGGTTGAGAAGCTGGTGACGGAGGGCCAAACTCAGGTGGTTGAGGTCCCCGCTGAAATCCTGCAGGCAGTCGGAAACCGCAGGCCCAACTGAAAACACTGAGGGCCTGTAGCATTTTTAGCAGGAGCGACTGGTCGAGGTGGCGCAGCCCCAGGCTGTGGATGTTGTGCGAGAGGCACGTGGGCCAACGTGTGAGTTGATCCAGTTTCTTGACTCTGGGCTCCTAACCAGAGGTGGCCAAAATCCAGACGAAAACCCTTGCTGTACCCTCGGTTGAACGCCTCTCTTGCTGGAGGAAACCTCAATTTTCTGGCAAGGCAAAGCAATTTGCAAAGCCCGTCGTGCAATGGAAAGAGAGTATCCGAGAGGCAAAAGTCCTCTGTCTGATTTCTACAGTGGTTATATGGGGATATATAGGGACAATGGAAAATAAGATGGAAACTACAGGAATTAAAGGGGTTATATAGGGATTATAGGGTATATATTGGGGTTGGGGTTCTATAGGGATAATGGAAAATAAAATGGAAACTACTATATTATATAGCTTTAAAAGGGTAATATAACAGCGCGTGGGGATGCATCGGTGCTGGTGCAGGTGCCGCAGACCACCATCCGGGAGCAAATCCAGGAGGTGAGTGGCAAAAGTGTGACAAGTTCAGGAAAGTTAGAGAAAAAGTACCCACTATAGTAGCTAATCCATTTTCTTTTCCATTATCCCTATAGAACCCCAATATATACCCTATAATCCCTATATAACCCCTATAAATCCTGTAGCTTCCATTTTCTTTTCCATTATCCCAATACCATCCACTTAAGCGGGACTCTAAATGGAAAGTGCTCAAACGTCATCGTTAAAACGTCCAGGTGCCGGAGGCCAGGGTTGTGGAAGTCCTACGGGAGGCCACGCGCGAAGCGTGAATGCAAGTGTGCACAATAGGGATTACAGGGGGATATATTAGGTTATATTGGGATAATGGAGAAGCAAATGGAAACTACTATATTGGGCTTATATAGGGATTATAGGGTATATATTGGGGCTACATTGGGATAACAAGCAGCCAGCATTCGGTCACGTGAAAGCTCAGGTCCAAAAAGCCGTGCCAGAGATCCGGCAAGTTGATAAGCCTGCCACTCGCCTTCGGAGAGCTCGCAGTCGCAAAAGAGCATAATCCTGTACCCTATAAGCCCTACATAACCCCTGTAATTCCTGTAGTTTCCATTTTCTTTTCCATTATCACAATATAGCCCTAATATATAAAAACAATCTCTAACAAAATCTCCAGGAAACCCAGCGCCCGGTCCTCCGGTTCAGAGGTCCTCTGTTGGGTCTCCACGAGACCACGGTAAATTGCAGCAATTCGCTTCTCGAAAGGCTGCGAATACAGCGTGTGTGGCTCTTGACAGATTGCGTTCGTTGTCAACCACAGCATTTGGAGGAATTGAAAGGCGTCGAATACGAAAAACTCGCAGCTTCAGCAGCTCTCAACAGTTATAAAGACTGCAAACTATGCATTTGCAGATCTTAAAAGGGTACGAAGCTACGAATATTGAATATTGCAAGTTACTGCACGTGGAGCTCTCGAAAGCCCACGGCTATTGTAAATCACGGTATTCGTGGCTTTGGAAAGGCTACGAACACGGAGATTACAGCATTTGTGGTTTTGGTGAGGCTGTAAACACGGTATACAAAAGCCCACACAATATTCGAAAAGTTGCAAACACATGACAGAATTTGGCAATCTTTAGTGTCTGGAGTCTGCAGAACGACACTTCATTCCTATATTGTCATGCAAAGCAAGCTGCTAAGACATTCCGTCAATAGCAGCAAAAGGTGTAAGAAGCTACATGTTCTTATCTTCGGCC